CAATGTCATTCCTGAATCAACCATTAAGATCAGGAGAATGAATGAAATGATCACCAACTACAGCTCTTGATTGTAAACCAAATTATCCTAGTCAGTACATTAAAAAATGTGTAGAGAACAGTATGGAGAATATGCATGCTGATGTTAGGGTGTAAAGGATTAAAAGCCTTCATCTTGATATCTATCTTTCGAGTGATACGTCTTCTACTTTAAATGGTGCAAAACCAAAATACGAGGAAACCAGTATCTTAGACATTTTGGGAAGTTTTAACAGTAATAGCAGTTCACACTACATTTTACTCTCATAATGATAATTTTTGAGAAAGACCGGTACAGTGAAGGTATTCCTGCGAATATAATATACTAGCATATTTTGTGCTCAGTATTTAAAGATTACCTCAACCCTGGACCAGCCATGGGGAAGAAGCCCAAGGCAGCTGACTGAGAGGACCACGATTCGTGAGGTATGGCCCCAGTAACCAATCAATCAAACCACTACTGCGAATAGCTGTAAAAGAGATCGAAGGAATCACTCGTTCTCTTACCTTGGGCAACACAGAGCAAAGTATACCTAGCCGGGAACCGAACCCTAAATTAACCAGGTAGCCTTTAAAGACGCCATCGGGATCTATCAATGCAACGCAAAATAGATCGGAGACTGTTAGATTCTAGAACGATTAGATTAAGGTCAAGAACCTTTTTTTTCACAGTGAGTACGTACATATGATAGTAAATTACTAGAAAAAGAACATCAAAGGGGTGGATTGGTTTTGTACCACTTCGCGTCTGCTAATTCCAGGCTGAATTGGAATATGGCGTGTAGACGGCGAACAAGAGAAATAAATTTCTCTAAACTAAATCTTCTGAGCAAGGACAAACACCGGCTGAAACCTAAACAATGGGTGACCCAAGGTTCAAGAAACCAATTTCGGCCATAACTTTTCGTGGGGAAAGCTGAGAAAATGCCAATACTCAAACACATAAATTTTTTGGTATCTAGGGGAAGTGAGTCATGTTTATGTTCACTACCGTAAATGTAGTGAAAGACAAAGATATTGAGCTGGGTACGCACCTTTTACTGGATTCCAAGACACATTTGCATACCAGTTAACTGTTTTTTCGTATTGTCCAAAGGTTACATTTGGCCTGCTGGATGTTAACTGTTGTTCAGGTAAAAGTGTTCCGTTACTGGCCGTGTCCCCACAATCTTGAACGAATATAAAACCAATCATTTACTACAAAAATCCACAGCAAATCAGTTGAATAGAAACTGAATAAATTCCCATTATTTCTTTATCATTGATGCAAAATTTATTCCTCTTTAATTTGTTAATAAAAAAGAGAAAGCTTTATCTGTATGAAGCTGTATAAAGTTTTACCTTCCTATACTGTTGCAGGAAGATAACATAATAACATGAATTAATTATCAGCTACAATTATAGCTAGAACACAGAGTGACTAATTTATATCCGAAGAGCTTATAATTACCACGGGCAAAAATAGATCTTTTATGGCGCTCCACTGTAGAGACATTTCCACCGACATCTGTGGAGCAAAATGAAATTCTACTTTTAAAATATATGAAATGATTATAAAATTTAACTATAGACCAAAGTTTTAATCTTACATCTGAGAAAATGTACCAACAGTACTTAATTTTTTGGTTCCTAAAAACTATCAGATATTATCTTTTTAAACTAGTTCCTTTTCTTTTAGCTCCTACAGCACAACCTAACAGTCTTCTGGAAGACTTACATTGTTAGTGTAAACAGCAGATAGAATCGGAGTTCAACAACCGATGAATAAAAATGAACTGTGTTGATAATCAGAGAAAGAGGACAGTTTCTAAGCTGTTCCTCCTTCACTGGCTTCCAACCAATCCCGGATTACATTGAATATGATTGTATTAAATGACAAACAACTCCTCCTGACTGGTTTAGAACCATAAATGCAAAAAAAGTGTTTTTGCTATGATGTCAATTTGGCTATCACTCGTGTCACTAATATTTACTCTCTTGGTAAATCATCTTTTCCCTGTTGGTTTAGAACTGAAGATATGAGAGTAACTGGCTTCCATAATTTTCTAGAATAAAAAAATCGAATTTTTTTTTTCAAATCTTTCAAAGATTTCCAGGTAATAAAAACATATTCACATGAGACAGAAACATATTGTTCCGTTGCACTTCTTATTCAGCTTTATAAGTACTGGTTACCTCTCCTCCTCCTTAGACAATGGTAGCAGGAAAGAGATTGAAATGCCTAAAAAATGCAAAACATAAGGATGAATATATCTCAGTTAAGTTTAAAGGATTGCACATAGGTCAGGACCCTTTAGGTTGTAATCTTGAACATTGGGGCGCCTCATTTCAAATTGGTAATGTTTTCCCTAAAGATACCGTCCAGGTTACAAATTTAGCTTAGGATCCTTTCATAGTCTCCAGTCGCATATATAAATGTAACAATCAAAAAACCTTTCTAGATCCAAATTTGGTGCCTGTCACATCGTCTGACAAAAATGGCACATGTTTCTTACTGAATTTCTTAGAAATAGCATAACGTGGTCAGTGCCTGATTCAAAGAAAGCATATCATGCGTGAAAGAGACGTTTTAAAGTATTCTTGTTTGTTTTGCACTGACAAAGGATTGAAGGTAGAGTGCAAAATTGTTAAGTTTTTAAGATAAGTTCCGATTGATGACTCGTTAGAATGTAATCCACGTGGTTCTGACACCCTATGGAATCAATACCCATAACAAGTGATATATTGAAATTAGTCTGGTATGAAGATAAGAACAGGAACTTATTCTATTTCTCTTTCTTTCGAAGTTTCCTTGGGTTTCTGTACGGAAACCCTGCCGAAATCATTTTCATTTCTATTTGCAGCATTAAGTCCGGCTAAACCTTGAATTGGTGAAAATGATAAAATATTTAATTACCGCAAACTGTGCTGAAGTCAATCGAATTCTATTACTGTCGACTTCCGCAATCGAATTTTTTAAGGGAATACTCCTAGGTATTTTGATACAATCAACGGTAATTATCGCCACCTAATTGGTCCAGAATTTACTTTGATGATTTTGTTGTTTGTGTACAAAGATTAGAGATTTATGGCGGCCACAACTCTGCATCGGCTTCGTTTTCCTCAGCTCAAATTTAATTACTTTCAAAATTCAACATTCTCAGCCAAAGGCTGATCGCCTTGCATCACAATGTACACATTTTGATTTCCATATAACAGAAAGCGATAACTAACCTGGGCTGACTTTGTCAAAGTTTTCCGTTCGTTCAAGCCGCAAACTCGAAGGCACCGTGTTGTATGGTATTTATCTTGGCTTAAACAATTGATCAATGATCCTGCCATAATAAGTGCTCCTATAGCAACTATAGGGATTCTCGCAGTCATGGGATCCTGAAAAGATGTTTGTTATTCCAAAAGACTTGTAATAATTTCAGGGCACGTTCATCAAGCACTTCTTGAGTAGAAAAGTTGAAAAAGCATCATAAATCAAGGTCGATTGGAGACTAATCTTCACTCCCATGTGATGCAAATTTTAACCGCACCAAGACATTATTCTCTTGCATCTCGTTTCACACCTGGATAAATCTGTCATTTTCCATCCCCGAAATCGAGCAAAAAATCACACTTCTCAAGCTTATTCAAGTAATAATTTCTTGTCATAGAGAAAATTTGTCAGAGATGTTGTTATAATTCGAATTTTCCACCTTCAGCATCCATCATCCTACCGGTGAGAGGAATATTCAATTGTTTAGCAAAAATGGCAAATTTCTTTTTTCAGGAAACTTCAAGAAAGGGTGAGAAGTCAACAAAACATGACCATATCTTTGTTGTCCGCCAGGGAAACGGCACCCATCCTCAACTAATTTTGGAAGTTACGAAAGTCAGCTGACATTTAAGGTAGAATGCATAGTGAGGAGAACGTTACCAGGATTCGTGACAATAAATAAAACGCAATAATTAAAAATATTACACAAGCAAATAAAACCTGCCACCAACAAAAAACTACTCTTAACTCATTCTTACTTTATCGCTTGCCTTTAAGAACGAGACAAAATCGTTGCTTTTTGTTACTGGTATATCTATCGATAGGCACTGGTGCCAAAACAGTAAAAAAATTCAATTCTGCTACGCTTCTAAAGAAAAACGTGAACTGTGAAATAATGACTTTATATGGGGTAACTGTCCTTTCACTTTTCATTTATTCATTCATTCATTTAATCATCCGATGCTTTTCAAGTTTGACATCCCTTGGTTGAGAAATTCTGCCTGCACCCCTAAAGAAACAAATGGTGAAGGTTTTCTCAACCTTCGTTAGCAAACTTTGTCCAACGTTCAGGTGACAGGGATCCATTGGATGCTTGATGAAATGCCCAATTGGTTCGACAAATGCTAATAAAGATTACATACACATTTCCAGGTGTTGTCGTTGTTTGGGCTGTAAAACCTTTTTAAAAACCTTTGTTCTCGTATATTTCCGAAATGACAATCCCATAGTGTACTGTTGCAAGTGTCGAGATACAATTCCATCCCCATACTTCGTTACCACTCTCCTTGGGAATAACCAGCAAGATGGTTCGGCTTTTATAGAAAGGTCAGTTTGCCAAAACAAAGACAAAGTCGACAAAATCCCGCATCCATTATCCCATTCCTAATCATGGCGACACTTTGTCCTATTCAGATCATGGCTGCAGATATAAATTTGCAATTGCTCTGTGATCACTGCAACGACCTTTCCTATTAAATGCTGCGAAAAACATGAATGTAATGTAGATTTTCTGTAAATGTACCGACAAGGCCAAATGCAGTAGCAGCAATAAATTCTATGTCTTTGCAGACTTGTTTATATCATTTAACAAAAGATACAAAGAGTATTATGCCCCTCCGATTGCAATAGAGGCCATTTGAATTTAAAGCGAGTTCTTTCCCTGAAATCTATCTTATGGACAAAGGATTTTTCTTTCCTTATGTAGTCTTTGAAGTCCTTTTTTTAAAGTTGATAACACTTCTCCCCCACCAGCCTTCACTGACATTCTGGTGAGCGAACTCCACATTTAATATCTGCACTTGATTTTGCACATACTGGCAAATGTGAAGCAAGATACGTTTGTCGCTATTAATTTAAAAAAACCTTCCCAGCCTCAAAGTCTCTTTAACGAATGCGAATATACAAATGACGAGCTCCTGGCAGCCTACACTCAATCCAAACCTTCGTCATCAGATATAATTTTTGTCACATCTTCATCAGATTCTGAGAATAAAAGATTAAAAAGGTCATTATCGTTTTCTTTCTCACAACTTTTTTTCGTAATGGTCACAACATATTTTTCCCCTTTCTCGCCAAAAGACGCATAAGAGCGCAATAGACTCACAGGTTGAGTCAAAGCGTTCAATCACAGAATCCCCCTGCACCCAGTGATCACCCTTTTTTCTTTTCCTTTCTCGCCAAAAGACGCATAAGAGCGCAATAGACCTGCAGTTTGAGTCAAAGCGTTCAATTATAGAATCCCCCTGGACCCAGTGATCTCCCACGTGATCGCTTTATTGAGTAGAAGTATGAAAGGAAAATTGAATACAAACCCGGTTGATCTCTCATCTTGCGCCACAAAAAGATCTTTCTAAGTACGACAACAGCAACTATTACCAAAAGGATACCAACCGCCAAACCAACGAAAATGGACACATACTGGATGGTTTTGTTAGTACCTGAATAAAGATAAAATAAGAAGGATAGCTAATTTTGAGGTTAGTAATGAGAAAAGGAAAAATGTTTTTTTTCTTGTCTCATATCGAGCGTGAGACAAAGAACCTAGTATTGGCCCACCTTGGAAGAGAGCTCTCTGTGCCTCAGTGGTCGAGCAATAAAGCGCGGATTTCAAAGGTCTGTAGTTCTATTCCTTCTAAAGTCTCTGATTTTCTACTTCGAGCCATGCTCGAGGCAAGATGAAAAAACATATTTTCTAATCTAATTAGTCTATTTACTCAAAGATAAACTGTTTTACAAGGATTCTGACTAAAATATAAGCCGTCTCACCTTTCTTTGTCGTCTCTCTTGTTGGTTCTTTAGAAGCTGTTGTTTTTGCTATTGTTGTTTGTGTTGATGTTGCTACTGTAATGGAACATCAAGATTCAGATATTAGATCAACAATGAGAAGAAGCAAAACAACATATTCAGTCAACTTCACTGCGATAAAGTTATCATCCGATAAGCTTCCTCGATGTTTAGCCCCATCTTTCGACGGTCAAAAAATTCTATCTTGGACAAGACAGAGACAGAAGGCTTCAGAATTAATGTTTTTCTCATGACTATATGAAAAAAAAACAATTACGATGACTGATTTATGTTCACTGCTCGTGCGGCATCACTAATGAGTACAAGCTCGCAGGCAAGGAGGAACTTTAGCGATTGCAATTAACTATACCTACTTCTTACGTCGTTAAAATATCTTTGCATCGCAGAAGCAGTTACATTGGAGGGTATGCTTTGAATCTTCATAAAGAAAGAAAATGAATTAATAAATATATAAGTGAATCATGGCTTCTTATTTTCCACTATTAGGCACTAGTTTTCTTGCAAGGGGCGTCAAAGGCAGACATCGGAAGGACGATGGAAATAAAAACGTCAAATTGTCAAAATCTTTTCACTCACCAAGAGATCAATTAGGTCCGGGTAAGTATAGCCATAGTGAGAGATATTAATGCTGAGAGACGTTTGATTCTACAGGAAAGAAAGTAATGGCAGGAATAGCATCTTACTTCTCCTTACAATATCATCCCTGAATCAAACATTAAGATCAGAAGAATAAACGAAATGATCACCAAATACAACTCTTGATTGTAAACCGAATTCTTCGAGTCAGAACATTAAGAAATGTATAAAGAACAGTGTGGAGAATATTCATACTGATGTTAGGGTATAAAGGGTTAAAAGCCCTCATCTTGATATGTATCTTTTGAGTGATACATCTATTACTTTAAATGGTGCAAAACCGAAACACAAGGAAACCAGTATCTTAGACATTTTGGGAAGTTTTAACAGCAATAGCAGTTCACACTGCTCGTTACTCTCGCAATGATAATTTTTGAGGAAGACCAGTACAGCGAGGGTATTCTTGCGATTGTACTAGCTTATCATGTGATCAACATTTGGAGATTTTCTCAACTCTAAACCAGCCAGGGAAGAATCAAAATATTTTTAACTAAAATGATTTCAATTGGCGAAGTAAGGCCCCTCGAATCTGTTTACCGAACCCAAAGGATCAAAGTCTACCGGAAGAAGCTGAACAGGATGCAAGAGAAGTCCCCCGTTTTCTTACCTTTGGCAGCAGAGAGCAAAGTATACTTGGATCAGAACCGAGGTCTAACTCAACCTTGTAACCTTTCAAAACGCCATCAGGATCTAACAATGCAAGGTAAAAAAGATCGGACACTGTCAGATTCTAGAATCGATTACGATCAAGAAATTATTTTCGCTACAACTATTTCATGAGTAAAATGCTAAAAATCATTTTATTTGAGGAAAAAAAGGTCCCTATGTACCACTACCAGTGTTTCTTGTTGTAAAAAATGACAAACAAGCAAATCATTGTGTATTTTATGAGTTCCAGCAAGATATCGTGTTGTTCATGATTGCTTCCAAAGTAGTTCTATACCTTAATTAAATAAATTAAATCAGTTACCGGTGGACTTGCCGAATTGGAACGTGGCGTATAGACTACAGAGCTAAATCTCCGGCTGAACTAAACCAAAGAACTCTAGAGAACCGGCAAAAACCCTTGAAGCAAGAACGAAAACTAACTAAAACCCTAGCAACATGTGACCTAAGGTTAATGAATCCAATCCGGGAATAACGTTAGTTGGCCCAAATTGGATATTCCCTTCCCCGTTATAGAAAGCATTTGATTCTGAACATTCGAGGAAGCTGAGAAAATGCCAATTACTACTCAAAGACAATAATTACCAGAGTTAAGGGGGAGTGTCTTATGATTCTGTTCAATAACATAGTTATAATGAAATTGTCACAAATTGAGTTCGGTACACACCTTTAATTGGATCCCAAGACACATTTGCATACCAGTTAGCTGTTTTTTCGTATTGTCCAAAGGTTACCTTTGGCCTGGATGTAAACTGCTGTTTCGGGAAAAGTGTTCCGTTACTGGCCGTGTTCCCACAATCTAGAACAGATATAAAACCAATCATTTACAACCAAAATCCACAATAAATCAGTTAAATAGAAACTAAAAAAATTCCCATTATTTCTTTTGTATTGATGCAGAATTTATAATACTTTAATTTGTAATTAAAAAAGAGAAAGCTATATCTGTATGAAGCTGTGTAAAGTTATTTTATCTACCGAGTTTGCACAATCTAAACAAATTTAAAATCGCCAAAATTTGCAGCAGATTAAGCTAGATAGAAATTGCATGATTTCCTTTATTTCATTTGGATCATGACGTACCAAAAAAGAATTTGTTCTCCTTTAAATTTTCATTTCCAAAAGACGAAGTTTTTACCAAACAAAGCTTTTTCCGGTCACACACTGATGTAGTGTTAAACTGCCGGCAATTTATTACCAGCTATAATTATAGTAAGTACACACGTTGACTAATTTATGGATAAAAGAGTACCATCTATAGAAAAAGATCTTTTTCGGCGCTTTGCGCTGGTCTTCGCAGTAAGGACACCGATATCTGTCAAGAAAAATAAAAAACCTTTTTGAAATAAGTGAGAAATGAGTATGAATTATGGCAAGACCATATTTTTAATTTCACAAAACATACCAATAGCATTCCTATTTTTATTAAAACCATGAAAAATTATCAATTTAGACTCCTCCATTTCCTTTTAGCACGTGTAGAAAGCGATCTGTTTCTCTTCAGGAAGACTTAAATTGTTTTTGTAAACAGTCGATTAAATTCGACCTAAGCAATCGATGAATAAAAATTAATTGCTGTTGATCAGAGAAAGAAGATAGCTTCTGAACTGCACTTCGTTTACTAGTTAGAAACCAATCCTGAACTATACCGGTTGTAAATAATTAATATGATTTTATTAGTTAACAAACAACACTTTCTGGTTGGTTCAGAACCATATATGTAAAAGTGCATTTTTCTATAATGCAATAAGAGTTTCGTATACTTAAGAGAAACAGAAATGTCGTGATTTATCAAATTTGTGGTTCAGCATTAAGTTTTGTGTACCTCTCCTGCTCCTTTTACGACACCGGTAACAAGAGAAAGATTTCAGGACCTGCATAGAGAAAAAAGACAAAAGCACCTCTGTTGTAAGGGGCTACGTCGCTTAGTATGTGGCTGCAAGTAGTAGCTAACACAAACTGGAATAACGCACCTTTAAACCCTACAAAAAATTTCCTATAGGTCAAACCAATGAAAGAGACTAACAGATTTGTCTCGGTTGCTTTGTTGTTCAGCGATACAACATACTCTTGTAAATCCCGCAATATCACGTCATTCTGGGGTGTCACGCTCCAATAATCAAATGAATGAGTATTCAAACGCCACATGGCGTGACTTTTTCAAACTCATTAGATATCGATATCGATCCGACCGGTTTATCCTGTTGCACAGCAGTCTTTTTTGTTTGTACGAGTTATGTTCAAGCTTGTAACAGAGGTTGAACCGGAGGCCAACACATTTAAATGAATGCAATGTACTGATACGGTACTTTATTTTCTTTCTTGTCGCAGAGACATATTTGCTTTCTATTTCGATTACCAACGAGGTCACGAAAAGTAAATTTATTCCATGGACCAATGATTCCTTGAGTAGCACACACGTCGGGAAACTTCGAGTCTGTATCTTTGAGGGTTCAAAGTCACTCAACAGCTCGAAAGTAAAAGCGCCACTTTTAATAGCCTAAGCATGCTTCTAACCAATTCTGACTAGGAAAGTTTCTTCTAATTTTAAACAGCTGAGAATTAATTCATAACGGCAAAACCCGTACTGTTTTGTAGTACATTTTGCCCTTTCTACCTTTATTTCATTCGACTTGTGTTTTTTAACTCATGTCAATGCAAAATCTAGAGCTTACACTACTGACCTAGCCGTTTGTATTCAAACATGTCACGTTTTGCCGAAGCTGCTCTTTCCCTAATGGCAATTCAATTCAATTCAATTTCAAATTAACATTAAACCTAGATAACGTCTTCTGCTTCCGAACGGCTTGGTTTACACCACAATGTAAAAGGAAATTTAATGTGTGTATAAAGAAACGGATACGTTACCTGAACTCTCTCGGATAAAGTTTTATCTTTTTCCAACCCACAAGCGCGAAGGCACCATACAGACTTGTTTATGTTTGCGCGTAATGCCTCAAGCGAAGATCCCGCGATGAAAGCAAAGACAGTTATCGTTATGACAATGATTCGTGCAGGCATGGTTCTTGTGAAACGCTCTCCCTCCGTGTATTGACTTGTAAACAGGTTCAATGAAAGTTTCACCGGAAAAGAAGCTTTTCCCCTCGAGTAGAAAAGCTAAATTAGTACAATAAATCACGGGCAACTGCAGTCTGCCGGCAGTTTGTTTTCCTCTAAATATAGAACGAGTGCTGCAGGGGGAGTAGAGATTGGGACGAGATGGCGTCACGATTTCGCCCCAGTCTCTCTCATTTTGAGTCAACGTCCACTGTCAGGCTCGTAGAGGCGAACAAAGAAATATGAGTAACAAAAGATAATATGCTTTCCACTTGACCCATCTTAAAAACTCTAATTGCACAACCGTGGAGGATATTGAACTCAACTGGCGGTAAGGGTGGAAAGCATGATCAGGAGAAGGTTAACGAGATTTAATGACAACAGAGGCCACGAAGAAGAGTTTCTTAAATCCCCTTATTCATTAGTTTATTAAAGTAATATCAAAAGAAAAATTACAGTTTCATCCATTTTTACAATTCATTTATGTATTGTTTGTTTAGTTATTCATCTTTTATTCATTTATTTGTATATACATGTATGTATCTTTTCAAGTGTGTTTGCGACTGCGGCTCCCCACTGTTATAAATAATCACCCATTGAAGATAATACAACCTGCCGACATTCTAGGAATATGTTTGTCTGGGAATTCTTAAGTCAGAGAGTTTAGCCTAAATCCCTAAAACATAATCATAACTACTACAACACGCAGCTTTATGATATTGCGTTTGATAATTGGTTGAATGTCCATGCACGTGTTTATACATATGTACCTGTCATGGTTGACATGAGAAGAAATGTTTAAAACGGTTTTCTCTAAAATGAAAAAATCCAATCTATATTTAGGGTGAAGTGTTACGCGCTCCAAAATTACTCCTTTGTGGTTTTGTTGTTAATCTCGTTGATATATATACATTTTTTTCAAATTTGCCTATGTAGAATCGCCGTCCTTTCCTTTTTCAAAGCAATCGTTTTATTCCATGTGCATACGTCGTTATTATTGTCCTTGAGGAAATCCAAGAGCACAAGATTGAGCTACAAGTTTTCTTTACTACAAATAAAAAAAGAAATCTCTAGTCTCAGTACCAGAATTTCAAGATCCATCTCGTCTGTCACATAGCGATTTATCTGGCTTAAAAAAAAACTACTATCAGTGCTGTTAGTCAGAGTTCCTACACTGCCAATTTTTACAGTTGATACTGCTACTGTACTCCCAATATTGCTATTGTTATTGCTTAGGTTCACTTTTTTCCTTCGCAATATTCCTCTCAGTCCTTCGTTTTCTGGAATCAACCCGTTGTTACTTGAGCAACAAGCCATCGGTAATTGTGAGAAAATGCGCGCAAATTCTTTATATGCCAATCTTCACTTATAATAGACTGTTACACAGAGGATATTACGGTGTCATCGCTTTTTGTACTGTCAAGCCTGTTGTACCGAGTTATTGCTAGGGCATTTTTCGCCTCAGATGCGGCTGGTCTGCCTGTCATTACTGTTGCTATTTTTCTCTCTGATCTAACCGCAACGGGCACCTTTAGAAACTGAAGGAGCTTTTTCTCCCAATAAGGTTTTTCATGATTACTGTCATAGTCGATCACGCTTCTATTCTGCAACGTTCTAGGAAGCTCTTGTAAATCTGCGTCATCAATTCTTATGATGACCAGACTGTTGTCATTTTCGCTTAAAAGTCGTTGCTCCGCTTGTTCCAGCTCATAACAACAGTTAGTACTTTTTAAAAAGTTCTTTGAATAAACAACTATGTTTTTGTAGCTTGCGTATACACTCTCTGACATAGTCTCATAAAAAACTCTCCCAGGGTAAAAGTCTCTGTAGTGAACTCGGCATTTTAGTTTATGTTGTTTTTCAAGAAGGTGTAGAAGTTTGTTTTTCATCCATTTACAGTCTCTTTCGTTAAACATAATGAATACGTAGCTCTCCACTCCTGGACTATTCAACTCTTTCTCTTCAGATCCCGAACTGCTGGACAATGTTATTCTAGACCCTAAAAATATGAGAAAATACGTAAAACCTGTTATGTGCTATTTCTGCTTTCAAGCACTGCCTGTTTAGGGGAGGGCTGGCTCAGAACCTGTGTTTCTTCCTTCCCTTAGAATAATTCTAAGGTAACCGAACAGCCCAAGAGAAACACATCAAACAAGAATCAGAGATTTAACGAAAACGTTCACTTGGCATGAGTCATGCCAAAGAGTTTGCTGAATGAATCTTTGGCTTTAAACGTTCTGTGAATAAGTCGCTATATATTGGTAGCTGGCGAATAGCTTTCCGACATACTTTGATAAAAAATGGAAACGAAAAGAAACCAAACACTCCCAGGTTCAGAATCTCTTTACTTAATATTGAATTTCAATAAATGCTGCCCTTTAATAAGATATACAAGTTCGTTTTCCATTCAATGGCACTCTGTACGGTTTAGTATTATGAGCTCCTGATTTAAAAATCTTTTAAAGAGGTCTTAAAAGCGATTGAATATTTTTAGTTTTTACTATTGAGATTTTCAGAATTGTAGGACTTCTTCTTTTCTATCACCAACGAGAGGATAATATTTGCCTATTTACTGAGGGAGTGCCAGACGGGAAGGCATTTGGCTTTAGTTAATGACGTACAGACCTCGAGCCAAATATTTTCTACGCTAGCTGTGTAAGGTTCGAGTGTCATCTCCACTGCCCAAAACATCGAATAAACGCTCGATGTTTATGTGACCGTCATGTCCTGCTAAATGTACGGCACCACAGAAAATACGAGTGAAAATGAACACTTTATCTGAGAAATTTTAAAGGTTAATAGAAGGAAAACAACAGCAAAATTGGGAATGAAGCCTTGCCAGCCACAAAAAAAAATGACCAAGGAGAGTCCAAGTTAAAAATGGGAGCATTTCAAACTAAAGTAACATCAGACATGTTTAAATGTTTAGAGGACAAAGACAAACCTGCTGAGATAGAAATGTGTTCCATGGGCCGCGACACGAACTTTCTGCGAAAAATAATAACCAGTATTCCTACCAGGAGACCAACAAGGATACCAGCAGATATGAAAACATATTTGATAGCTTTGTTGTTATCTGGACGAACAGAATGAAATCAAATTAACTGTAAGTACAAAGTTTTGTTTTAAAGAAGACTCAAATCTATGTCAGCGCTAATCCTCTTTTGATGTCAGAATCTGACCAAACGCGCACCTACCCCTGCCCTAACCTAACACTACACCTAACTTGTTATCAGTTGACTTCTTGAAATAATGCTGGATGCAACTCGCGTATTGCTCCGATGTTTTGATGGAGAACGTAAGGATGCTGCATTCAATGCAGGACACATTCAAGTGAGCAAAATTCACGGCACTGGATTTGTTTTTCCTAAATAGTTCTGGGATTCTCGAAAACGTTGATCATTTAGAAATAACCGATGAGAATTTCATTGGCTAAGTCTTTCCCGCATTTGCGCTCAACATAGCACGCTATTGATGGTGATATAAGAAGACTTATTCTTCTCTCTCTTTTAAGCTGATTTTAGACAAATTATAGAAACCATGAGTGTCTTTCTATCCTATATTCATTTAACTCTATTGCTCAATCATTTATTTGGATTTCGCAGTTCATAGTAACTTGAAATATGTTGCATTAAAAAAAAGAAATGATAGAGCAGAAATTCTACTCGATTTGTACAATGAAAGCAATACTTAACGCGCTCTAATTGAAGGCACAGGAGAAACTGGAGTTATTGTATTTGAACTTACCTTTGTTAGAGAGGGTTCCCTGTGCAGTTGTTGCTGAAGAAGACTTAAACAAAGTAGAAACTGTAAATGAAAGAAGGCTGCATATGAATAAACGTTGAAGTGTTATTTTCGTATGTACTCGTACGTCAGTGATAAGTGAATCACTACAAGTTCATTCATGACGTTTAATTTAATCATTTAAACATAGAGAGGATATAAAAAACACTTGAGGGAAAATACAAGGATTTCTCTACGGAAAATTATAAAATTCGTTTCAGGAAATAGAGGATCACATTTTTCTCTTACCATCACAAATCTTACCTTTCGTTGTTTTATCACTAGTAGTGGAAGCTCTTGTCGTTGTTGCCGTCGTTGCTGTTGTTGTTGTTGTAGCCGTTGTCGTTGTTGCCGTTGTTGTTGTTGTTGACGTCGTTGCCGTTGTTGCGGTTGTTGCCGTTGTTGCCTTTGTTGCCGTTTCTGTCTTTGTAGATGTGGTTGGTGATGATTCTGATGATGGTACTGTTGAAGAAGATAATAAATAACAGACAATAAATAACAGACACAAAACAAAAATACTGGACACGAGAAAAATTCATTCTCCCTTGACATAAATTGTTAGTATAGACAGAGTTGATAATATAAATCAGCCACCGAAGAGAATTTTTAAACAGGTGTTTCGAGCAAAGTACCTTATAATAATAATACCCGACATTGCAACACAGTTTCTTTAGAAACTTCCTCCTTCACCCAACCATAAGTTTCTTTTCGTAAAAAAAAATTATTTGATTATTATAACCCAAACATTACCACAAGTTTCTCAAACCATGATGGGACAGTAAGGGACTTAATGATGCCCAGTGACACAAAGCATCAAAATGAGGATATGAAATAAAAATTTTCCAAAAACCATACGAAAGAAGTAACTAGATATACGAGTAAGTCATTTTCTTTAACA